ACATGGCTAGAGGAAGAATTCCCATATAAACGTATGAAAGTCCCGACCTAGCACAACCCAAGGAAAGAAGAAGACCATATGGGCTGAAGTTATTGCACATGGTTTACGGTGTAAAGTCACATGCTCATGTCTCTAAGACAAATCGGTCTATACGGACAAAAGAAATTTAACATGGCTTAAAGAAGAAATCTACATGAGCAAAAGCTTGGCCACACGGAATGAAGAACAAAGGCACACGGATGTGTGCCCTAAATATCAAACCATGTACTATTGATTTTTCAAGGCCCCAAACCATGTAATACCAAGCATCAAACCAAGGCTTCTTTAATATTGTTAATTTTCATTACTTTCAATTGATTTCAAGCACCCTACATACAATAAACACCCCTTTATACTACAAGAACACTCAAATAAACCAAAACGTTCGATTGATTCTCTTTCCGTATGGGTTTGACCCTTACTTATCCCGATTATATAATCATGATTGAAAGCTCTATAAGGAAAAATACGAATATTAACTTATTGATGGTACGATATGCTATCAAATTTTGACATCGTTGTTGGGGGTGTAATTAAAGTTTATTTTTTTTAGGTATTTTGATTATTCTTATGCTTTTATTATTGTTAGTATATGACTAAGTCTTAATTATAAGATTTGATTTTCAATCTTAAACCGTAAAGAGAACTAAGCAAGTTGAGAAAAGAAGTTTGGCTAGCTTCGATTGAGAGAATTGAGTCATCCGAAAGAGTGGTTTCACCAAGCATAACCACGGTTCTTGAGTTCTTATCATCTAGTGACTCGGAAGGAGAAAATATGGCTATAAATGGGGCAAACATGACATGAAAGAAGTTGGTTTCTCCTGTTCTTAATCGGTAATCCCTACGTATCGAATTCCTTAATCTCGAGGTGGCATTTGAGCTAAAATCAAGACCGATACACCTACTTTTAGAATTTTAAGGTCCGGCTAGAGAAGACTCCCATAAACATTTAAGAGCGTTCCATTTGGTCCGTTTAATTATGAGACCATAAGGAATAACGAAGGAACAAATCAAACTAAAGAAATTCTCTTTTTCATTGGATGGGGATATTAAGGATTGGTTATATGATCTCTCTGTGGGATCAATTAATTCTTGGAATAGAATGAAGCAAGCGTTCTTAATGAAATACTTTCCCGCTTCAAAGGCTATAAGTATAAGAAAAGAAATTTATAGGATTCAATAGTTTACTAGAGAAACACTTTATGAGTATTGGAAGCGATTCAAGAAGTTATGTTCCACTCGTCCATACCATCGGATTTTTGATCAATTGTTGATTATGTACTTTTATGAGGGTTTGCTCATTGTGGAAAGGAGCATGATAGATATAACTAGTGGAGGAGTGCTAGTTGACAAAATGCTCGAAGTGGCAAGGGCTTTAATTTTAAATATGGTCGTCAATTCACATCAATTTGATACAAGGATTGATCATGCACAAAAAAGGTAAATAAGGTCAATATTTGAAGTTTAGAGCGATAAATGTCGACTTAACTTCTTCAGATGAGGCAAATGGTGGTTGGTAATCTATAAACGAGTTAAGGCATGTGAAATTTGTTTTACTATCGAACATATGATGATATGCAACATTACAAGAGGGGCTCACATAGCATATTAATACAGCTAGAAACTTTAAGGGTGGTCAACCAAAGCCATATGACCCTTACTCCAACACTTATAATCCAGAGTTAGAGAGATCACCCTAATTTGAGATATAGGAACAATAAGCAAGGGGGCAAAACTTCTACCAAGCAAAGGCAATAATGGTACCAACCCGGGCCTTTTCAATAACATGGCGTATAACATTCGGACAATTCTTTAGAAGAAATAGTGAAGTCTCCTCGCTTTGAGCACCAAACAATTCTAGCAAGAGACTAGGTCAAACATTCAAAATTTGAAGAATCAAGTGAGTTAAATAACGACTATTATGAGTCTTCTAGAGGCTCAAGCTAGAGGAAAATTACCATTTAAATGATGATAAATCCTAAAAAGAATATGAGTATAATAACCTTGAGGAGTGGTGCTCGTGTAGAGTAACCAAATAAGAGAATGCCTAAATTGCCCGAAGAAGGAAGAGTAAAGATGGAGGAAGAGAAGGAGAATACTATTGACGGGGCTATAAAGCCTTAAGGTAAATTTTAACCCTCCTACTCCATTTTTAACTAATCATGTACCTTTTTCTAGTAGGTTAGAGAAGTCTAGGAAAAAGGAGTTGGAGAAAGAAAAAGAGAAAGACATCTTTGAAGTCGTTCAAGCAAAATAGAGGTGAACATACCTCTATTGGAGGCCATTAAGTAAGTGTCTTGATATGCCAAGTTCTTAAAGGACTTGTGCACTAGTAAGAGGAAGCTGAACATGAATGAAAAGGTAAGAATGACGAAGAATGTTTCCACGATCATCGCAATAAAAAATTTCTCCCAAGTGCACGGATCCATTAAACTGAATAAATTTATGCTAGATTTAGGGACATCGATTAATATAATGCCATACTTTATATATATGACACTAAATTTAGATCCATTAAAGGAAATAAATGTTATCATCCAACCGGCTGATTACACTTGTCGACGTCGGCCACCGCGAGGAGGGGGCCGAAATAAAGGAGTCGCCACCTAGCTAATCGAGGAGAACTAGGAAACCTTAAACATACCGGTCTACATGGATATCCGGATAAGGGGTCGATTACGTATGGGGAAGAGATGTTGTCACCACCATCCCATCTTACCTAAGGTAGGTTGTATTGTTTGTCTATGAATATAAAAATCTAGTTTTTATCATGTTATGCTTCTATGCCTACTTAATGAGTCTATCTTGTAAACATATGGGCCATGATGGCTTGGGTATAAAACATGGTAGTTTGGACGTTCGAGCCGATCCAAGGCCAATATGTCTTACCCAAATGAAAAATAGGTGAAAAATGAGAATTTTGGCTAGTCATTAACGAACATGACGTATTATTGATAATAGGCAAGTTATAAATAACCTTTATTGGCATGAGTTGCAAGTCATCGGCGACTTCACTCACACAAGTGGAAAGCCATCGAAGACTTTGAATCATGAGTTTGAAGAGAATGATAACCTCGTCACACAAGTTAGAAGTTACCTATTACTTTATTTAGCTCGAGCAAGGAGCGGATAACTATTTAGAAGCCACCGACGACTTCATCATATAAGTGGGAAGCCGCTAACGACTTCGTTTCAATCGAACAAACATTAAATGAAAAATTATTTTTGAAGCCACCGGCGGCTTCGTCACATAAGTGAGAAGCCACCGACGACTTCGTTTTGATGAAATAGGCAATAAGACATAGAAAATAGAAATCAAGAAATAATAAATAAAAAACAGAAAAAACGAGGATCGGACACCAAACAAAATGGTTTTGAAACCACCGACGGCTTTATTGCAGCATTGTAAACAATCATGGAAAGTCAATTAAAGCATCAAATTGAGATAAAGTTTATATTGGGACGGATAGACATAATAACGGGAAAACATGGCATACTATTCCTTAATGATCTTTATAGTAATTTTTCATTTTGACCACATTTATTTCATGAATGTTATGCTAAGTATCTTAGTTTTAACCACATTCCAAAGCACACAATCATTTTTAAATATTTATCACACGTTCGTAAATGTCATGTTTTAAGATTTTTACCCATAAAGTTCTAAAGTATCGACGTTAGATTCGTAGTCGATCCTACTCTCTTCGTTTTTTATGATAATCGAATATTCGATTAACTGAAAAATGAGGGTAATTGTTGGTTGAGAATGTGGGGTGTGAGTGTCGCTAAAGTGACCAAAAACCTCTCGTTACTCGGGTGAACACTCAAAAGTTACCGCAAAATTTGCGAGCTCTTGAAAGCCTAAGGTAGCTTTTGTTACTTATGTTTCTTTCAAAAAGAATCAACCAAATACAATCTACAATATCATGTTATGGATGCCAACAATCCAACATGAAAAAATCTTTTAGCCTTTTTTTAATAATAATTTTTATTTCTCTTTTTTCAATAACTCCAAAAAAATTGTATAAGGGGTTGTTTTGAGGAAGGTTTTGCAACTGTTTTGGTGAGGGTTTTTTTTTTTTGAGAGGTTTTTTAGATGGTTTTGAAGCTGGCTAGGGTGTTTTAGTGGATACTTTGATGACTTAAATGGGCTATCCAAAAGGGCTTCTCTGCAAGTGTCTTTGGAGTCGTTTCGTGGTTGGAAAGACTCGTTGTTTGTGGTCTGTTTTGGGTTTGGTTTTCTAGGAAGTTTTAAGAAGTGTTTTAGGGGTTTCTTGGGGCTATCTTGAAGCTATTTTAAGGGTGTTTTTTTGGGGATTCTTTGGAGGTTTAAATGGACTGCTTCAAAGGGGTTTCTCTGTAAGGGTTTTTAGTGGCTATTGGTAATGGTTGTAAGGTTGATTTTGGAGGGTTTTTGGTGGGTTTTTCAAGTCTATTTTGGGGCTGGTTTTAGTGCTACTTTTAGGGTGTTTTATGTCTAGTTTGTAGCTACTTTAAGGGTTGGAGTGAGGGTTTTTGAAAGTGTTATTGGGGTCTGTCTAGAATTTTTATCCTCTCGTGAGAAACTTCTTCGAGCACTGTTCGATCATAATTTTGACCATTAAAACGAACTAATCTTGAACTAGTGTCTTCATAAAAATTATAGTTCCAGATTTCATCTTTCTAATGCAACTAGCCTTTCATCAATTGGACTCTTATAACCCAAGATATGAACTATGAACCAAACGAGTTCGATGTTAAAAAAACTTGTTGGACGGATTCGACTTCGACTTGTAGCCCCATTTTGACTTTCCAATATTTTGAATTAGGTTTTTGACTCTTCATAATAGTTGTATCTCAATCTATTATCTTTTCAAAGAGCCTAATATCACCTAATTAGGATATCCGTAGCCTAAGTCATAGTGAAAATACAAAATGGGTCCGAAGGATGAAGGCTTAGAGGTCGACTTGTGTGGGTGGCCATGGAAGTCGGTTTGTATGGGTTTGTGAGGTATAGAGAGAGGGGACTGGTGTTGAGGGTTGTTATGAAGGTTAGGGAGAGTGAGGAGAGTTTAGTGGAGCTTGGGAGGAGGAGATGGTGGGGTTGTAACGGTAAGATTTCAATTAGAGGGGTCGTGGAGGTTTGGGCGAGAGAGAGGGAAATGAGTGAGAACTTGGTTTCTGTGTGTATGTGGCGGCTAAATGTGTTCCGTTATAGGGAAGTTAGAGCGTGAGGAAGAGGCTAGTTGTGGAGGCTTAGGTAGTAGTCTTAGAAGGTTTGTGAGTGGCTATTTTAGGCAAGGGAGGAGATGGCCTAGTGTGGTTTTGTGAGGTGGGAGCTTTGAGTTGCGGTAGATGGAGAGAGAGGCGGTCGAAAAAAAAGGGTCCGTGATGGTGAGGTTGGCAACGTGTGGAGGGGCTAGTGGTACATGGTTGAGAGGGTTGAAGTGGTAGTGTGGCGTGGGGAGAGGGAGTCGCTGGAGATGCGTTTTGCGTGAGAGAGAGAGCCGAGGTTTGTGTATGTATGGTGGTTGGTTCCTTTTTGTGGGTAATGATGAATAGTTCCCGGTATAAAGAAATGCATAGGGTGGTTTTATATGTACGTTTTTTTGGGCTAAATGTCGTTTTAGTCCTTGGTTTCTTCCCATGCATTAATTCAAATTCAATCTTCATTTTTCTCTTCAATGAGCCTCCTCGAATCTCAATTAATTGGGACTTTTCCTTTAATTTTTCTTCAATTATGCCCCCTTGTTGTTTTAATTAAAGGACAAAAGTTTTGATTTTTTTTATTGAATCTCAATTGCACTTTTTATCACCTTTAGACTTTTCATTTCTTCAATTAACCCCTCCCTCTTTCTTTTCTCTCTTATCTCTCCTTTTTTTAATTAACCTAAACTAATCATCCCAATTGATTTTTTTCCTTTTCCATTTTTTTCATTTTTTGTTGGTTTTTTGTCTTTTTGTCTTTTTGTCTTTTTTGTTATTTTTGTAATAATAAAAATAAATAAATAGATAAATAAAGGGGAGCAAAAATTAGGTGATAACAATTGTCCCCTCTTTACAATGCTTACGACGTAAAGATTTTGAAAATGTTTTCTTTGACTTTACATGTAGGCTTGTAAAGAAATAGAAGAAAGATTTGAAAGACATGATTGACCATACCTAAAGGAAACATGACCGACCATGTTGATTTGAAAGTACGACATGACCGACCATGTTGATTTGAAAGGATGTGACTAACCACATCAATTTTATAAGGACATGATCGACCATGTCAATTTAGTAAGAGAACGTGATCGACCACGTTGATTTGAAAGAGCGTGAATGACCATGCCGACCTAGAGGGACATGACTAACCATGTCAATTTGGTAAGAAAACTTGACTAACCACATTGATTTTAATGGACGCGATTGGTTGCGTCGACTTTGTAAGACATGACCGGCCATGTCGAAGAGAATGTGATCGACCACGTTGATTTAAAGGGAACGTGACCGACCACGCCGACTCGAAAGGACATGAATGACCATGTCAAATAAAAAACATGACCGACTATGTTGACTTTGAGGGACACGAATGGCTATGTCGACTTTACAAGACATGATCGGCCATGTCAAAAGAGAACGTGATCGACCACGTCGACCTACCATTGTCAAATAGCAAACATGATCGGCCACGTTGATTTTAAAGGACACGAATGGTCGCGTTGACGTTGCAAGACATGAATGGCCATGTCAAAAGAGAACGTGATCGACCATGTTGATTTGAAGGGGACGCGACCAACCACGCCAACCCGAAAGGATTTGATCGACCATATCAATTTAGTAAGAGAACGTGATCGACTACGTTGATTTTAAGGAGCGTGATTGACCATGCCGACCTAGAGGGACATGACCGACCATGTCAATTTGGTAAGAAAACGTGACTAATCACATTGATTTGAAGAGGCATGATTGACCACGCCGACCTAGAGGGACATGACTAACCATATCAATTTGGTAAGAAAACGTGACCGACCACGTTGATTTGAAGAGGCACTATCGATCATGCCGACTTAGAAGGACATGATCGACCCCGTCAAAATGAAAAGAAAACGTGATCGACCATGTAGATTTGAAGAGGGTGCGATCAATCATGCCGACCTAAAGGGACATGATCGAGCATGTCAAATTAAAAAAAAAAACGTACATGACCACGTTAATTTGAGAGGGGCACGACCGACCACGCCGACCTAGAGGGACATGACCGACTATGTCAAATTAAAAAAAACGTGATCGACCACGTTAATTTGAGGGGGTGCGATGGACCATGCCGACCTAGAAGGAATGACCGACCATGTCAAGTTAAAAGAAAACATGATCGACCACGTTGATTTAAAGGAGCACGACCGACCGCACTAACCTGTAGGGACATGATTGGCCATGTGAAATAGAAAATGTGATTGACCATGTTGATTTTAGGGGACGCGATTGGCCATGTCGACTTTGCAAGACATGATCGACCATGTCGAAGAGAACATGATCGGCCACGTTGATTTAAAAGGGACACGATTGACCACGCCAACCTTAAAAGACATGAATGACCATGTCAAATAGAAAACGTGATCGACCATGTTGATTTTGAGGGACACGACCGGCCGTGTCAACTTTGCAAGACATGACTAGCCATGTCGGAGAGAACGTGACTCGATTAGGTTGATTTAAAAGGGACGCGACCGACCACGCCGACTCGAAAGGACATGACCGACCATGTTAAATAAGAAACGTGGCCGATCACGTTGATTTTGAGGGACACGACCGGCCGTGTTGACTTTGCAAGACATGACCGGCCATGTCAAAAGAGAACATGACCGATCATGTTGATTTAAAGGGGACACAAACGACAACACCAACTCGAAAGGATAAGATCGACCATGTCAAATTAAAAGAAAACGTGATTGATCACATTGATTTAAAGGAGCACAACCGATCGAGCTGACTTAAAGGGACATGATTGACTATGTGAAATAGGAAACATGACTAACCACGTTGATTTTAAGGGACGCGAATGGCTGCATTGAATTTGCAAGACATGACCGGTCATGTTAAAAGAGAATGTGACTAACCACGTTAATTTGAACGGATGCAATCGATCACTCTAACTTTACATGACATGATCGACCACGATAATTTAAATGGATGCGATTGAATGCTCTAATAAGACATGGCCGATCATGTCAAAAGAGAAACGTGATCGACCACGTTAATTTGGAAGGATACGACAGAGCACATCAATTTAAAGAGGCATGAAAAAACACACTAACTTAGAAGGACATAGAAACCATATTTATTTGGAATGACATGACATACCACGTTGGTTTTAACCGACATGACGAACCATATGTTTTGACAAGATATGACTGACCATTATGACCTAGACCGATGTGACAAACCACATTGGCTTAGAAAGGTACGAAAGACTATGTTTTTTGACAAGATGTGACAGAACACTTTGACTTAAGCTCGACGTGAAGCTTTCGGAGAAGCATAGGTCGTTACCGCCAAAACATAAGTTGTCCTCCTTTTCTTTCATTTTTTTTTCATCTAGCTTGAATAGGCTCACAATTCTAGGCCGATCGCTTTCATTGAGCTTATTTATTTGTATTTCTAATTATGACTCATATTCTTGTATTTATTGAGGATTGTCGCTCATATTACTCTCGTGTCATTTGAGTAGTGTCTACTCCCGTGATCGAATGGGTGATCACTATTTTTTTGTGCCCCTTAGTATTGTCCCAAAATGTTTAGGCTTTTGCAACCACATATTAAGAGTCCGACTCAAAATGGTTAAGATGGCCTTCTGTCTCAATTTTCTATAGTTCGTCATGAGAAAGTTTATTACGGATTTCATGGAGATCGACCTCTTATAGACCAAGTCCAAGTAAGATCTTTATCATGTTATCTTATGCTAATTCAATGCATCATCACCTTTCATGAATGACATCAATTATAAGATCGTGCATGAGACCAAAGAAGACCTCTTTTTTTTTTTTTAAAGGACTAATCATACTTGTGAAAACAAAGGTTTTTTTTTAGAGATGAAAGATCATGAATCAAATTATGTTGGGGGAAACAAGAATAGAAGAAGTAAAGTCAAATGATTGCGCTAATGAATATTTGGCCATAACTTAGATTATCTCTTTGTTGTTCTAGATAAGAAAGAAGTTGAAATGTTTTGGTCTTCTAGTATTGACACATATTTACGACAAGTTTGACATAGCATGTTTCTAAAGCATTGGTAATGATCATCCATTTTTCATCTACCTTTCAATGTTGTTACTCATGCCATTCATCTTCTTTCGATGTTTGCGCTTGATTTTATGAAATTGTCTTTGAGAGATTTTTTTTTTAAAAAAATTTGAAGTTTTAGAAAATCATTTTCATTTGTTGTGACTTTCATGGATTAGGTCATCTATTTGAAATTTTTCCATCAAGAAAAGTTGAATTATTCAAGAGAAATCATTGAGATGTTTATAAGAAAGTAATCTCATTCGAAGGGTGTTTGACTTATTTAGGTAATAGATAAAATGCATCGGGGTAATGTTGAGATATAAATCTCATGGTGATCCATTTTGAGGCTAAGATGAGAAAAAGGTGTTTGGGTTACAAAGGTTTTGAAAAGGGTTGGTCTCTTCTAACAAGTGATTGAAAAAAGAGTTTTTGAAGAAAGTTTGGCTCAAATGGGTCGTCTTGCCTAAGAAGACTCGGCTTACTTCTTTCTTGCCCCTAGTTACTTGATGAAAATTTATGATTCAATTTCATAAATGATGATTTGTGATGCATAAATTAGTCAAATTTTATTCAAAAATATATTTTTTCTTCTCATTTGAAACTAGAACTCGGAGGCTCAAAAAAGTCATCTTGGATCGAAAGGGCTTTCATAGGCACGTAATGAAGGCTTTGGCTTTGGCTTATGAATGAAAGGATATGAAAGGCTCAAAAGGTGTTTGAGGGTGTAAAGACCTAGGATCACTTAGTTGTTTGTCGAGATCACTTGAGGCATATTGCCTTGACTTTGTCATCTTGCTAATTGATCTCATCACCAAAAAGGTTGGAGTGATTGACCTTTGAAAAATTGATAAAAATTGAGTTGTTAGAAAAGAAAAGAAAAAGATACTTCATCCAACCAATCAAAAGAAAAAGGCAAGAGGTAGAAGTCGATAGTGATGGCGATGATGAGGAACAACCTACAACTGAAGAGGTTCCATAAGCGAGTGCCTTAAGTGGCTATGTAGAAAGGGTAGAGCAACTAACATCGTGGTTGGATGACTTCTAAATCAATGTCAATAGTCATT